TTATTTTATTTGTTGCATTTTTTCGTCCCGTAAGTTGATAGGAGACACATAAATTTTGCATGCAGCTTTATTTTGTTGACTCAAAAATATTTTTTATTTTTTATGTTTATGCCTCTTGAATATTATGGTTATTTCTACAGTATTCTAAACATGATTATCAATGTTTTAATTATTAATAATATTATCATACTTTTTGTTAGCGTATGGTATTCACAATCAAACATTTGCTCACTCAAAACTTTCAAAAAGTACATTTTTTACGACCTTACCTTACCTACCTACCTAGGTAGGTACCTTATGTCGCCTCTACACGTTGGCCAACACAGTGGCGAATGGAGTGGCGAATATATTGGCCGAGAGTTGGTGACGGCGTCCACACGTTGGAAGGTCGTTCAGTTTACTTCGGTTCGGGCTTTTTTTTTGCGCCCGAAGCAAATATGGGCAACCCTCCGGAAAGCGGGGGAGGGAGGCGGTGAATGCTCATAGCATACCACGCAGCCGGCTGCGTGGTTATGTGGAGACTTTTACCCACTAAACACCGCCTTTTAGGAAATGGCTTAACGATCTGGCTAGAGATCTCTAAGCCGTATACGAACGCGACCCTCCTTGGCAGAAAGGAGGGCGCATTCGGTTCGGGCCAATATGCGGACGAATTTATAAGCACCGTGGCGCAGTGGCTCAGCAATGAGTGGCTGCACAGGGAGTCGCGGGTTTGATCCCCCACGGAACAAGAATTTGTATGTCCTACAAATAATTGTTTCGGATGTGTGTCCTTGTGCAATTTATGTTTGTAAACTGCCTCCGCGATACGGGAGAAAATCCTAGTGTGGGGTTAACGTTTTTATAAAAGAATTATAAAATAATAGTGGATATTAATGGGGCTGTAAATAGATATACGATATACGATTAGCTTTATTTATTAGAGAATAGAAATAAATGCCATTAATAAGAACTTAACTTATTTTAAAGTTAAAGGAGTTATAATCGATTAGTCTATGTTTTAAAATTGGGTTTTGTTTTTAAAGTTTAGCAAAACATGTACTTGCTTTTCTATCAGACATTTGATGTATATAAAAAACACCTTATAATTTATTTGGTAATTTAATTATTTTTTGAGAAGGCAAAAACAATAGCAATAAATATAATTAACACTGACTTAATAATAGGTACTAATTATAACTTAGAACATAAATGAAAAACTCATAACAAGGAAAGTGGCTCAGGACCATGCTTTGCGGCATTCTTTGGAGGAGGATGTTCAGTAGTGGACTTGTGAAGAGCAGTAATGATGATGATGATTCGAAAACTTGCATGATTATTTTATAAGAAATCGACGCTTTTTTATGTGGAATAGGGTGACAAACGAGCACACAGTTCACCTGATGGTAAGTAGTTGCTATGGCCCACAGACATCTACATCTATCCTCGATTACGAATCAAAATGCAGATGCATTGTCAACCGTTGTCACCCGTGAGGACTAAGATGAAATGCCTCGTTTCCTTTAAAAAGTGTCTCTGGTTCTCTACACTCACTATACGAAACACAGCATCATTAAGCTACTATTTTACATTGATATTCTGTGAGAGCGTGGTCCTTCCCCGGTCGAACCGACCCATTCGTGCTACAACTATACTTCTAATATAACTGCATGGTTCTACCACGTATAAACGACGTACTTCATTCTTTTTTCATTTTAAAATTGTTCTCGTAATAATCTGATTGTAAATAAATGTTCATTATTTTTTTTTAAAATAGCTTACCGATTAAAACAAATGTTTAAAAATAATTAAATCGCGCTAATTAAAGTAGTAGGAATGTTTAAAGTTGAAATTGGCACTAAAAGGCTGGTAATTGGGTCATCCACCTTACAAAGCGTGAATATAAAATTTTAATCAGATGCGTGTAATCACTCTGGGAGCTTGTAGCAAACTAAACTCGCGGCCAACGTGTGGACGCGGCGACCAAACTCTGCCAACAATCCTTTGATCTTTTGTAAAAAACCGACACCACACGGATCTCGCGCCAACTTGCGGGCCATCGTTCCAATACATACCAATGAAGCCCAAACACCCCGTCTACACGTTGGCCAATGCTATTGGCCACTACATTCGCCACTGTGTTGGCCAACGTGTAGAGGCGCCGTTACCCATATAACAAATTCATGCAAATTATCAACAATGTGATTTTTTCTTTACAAAATATCAAAATTAACAAAATAATTGAAAACATTCTATATTTTAAACAGTATATAACATAAATGTTAACCAAAAATAGGCGTCTTATTATTGACGACGTCTTGAGAATTTACCTGTGAAATGTGCAATTATCAGGATTATTTCTATTAGTAACACCACAGTCACTCACAGAACAAGTAACCATTTTGGAAAACAATTAATTACCAAAAATGATAGAGATTGGCTGAATATGGATTTCACCGAGTACGAATATTCGGCCAAAATTTCGGTTAAACTTTTACCAAACCGAATATTTGGCCGAACATTATTCGACAGGATCACCTCGGTACCTAACCCATTAAAAGAAACTTTTTACCGTAAAGCGCGGGATTAGCTTCGGACCCTGCCCCTCGCTCCCCACCTCACACCTGACATGTTATTACATTATCTAGTACTGAGCAATTTACCGGCACATGCTTATGTTTTGACTATTTTTGTGAGAAAAAAGGTTATTTCCAAGAAAAAAAAAGTTATTAAAAATCATTGTGTTATTTTGACTTCTGAGTGACAATTTATAACTTTATGATTAAAAATGTCGAATATTCGGTAAATCTGCCGAATATGATGAATACCGAATATGAAACGAATATTCGGCCTATCTCTAAAATGTAATGCCTATTATACTCAAAAAAATAGCAAAATATCTAGGCGTTTATTTCTTGCGTGCCGATCTGTCATTCAAAATCGGTTACAAAGTCATGAGATTTGCTATCCTTTTCTATTTTGCTATATTTCCATTAGGAATTTTCTTCTTACTTGCACACTACGAGGGTGACACTGAAAATTCTTAGAAAATCAAAAACTGAACGAACTAGCAAGTTATTAGTTTATTTTTTTTACATTTACATCAATACATCGCTGCATCCGATGGAACTACTGAGAAAATCACTTTGCCCACTCGTCCTTAGGAATCTCTTCGACGGCATTTTGAAACGCAGCAACTGCTTCTTCCGCGTCCATAAAACGTTTTTCTCGATTTTTTTCATTTATTTTCGGAAATAAATAAAAATCGCAAGATACAAGGTTAGGGCTGTGGGGCGAGTGACCCAGTAATTCCACGTCTGACGTAGCCAAGTAGTCGATTGTTTGCTTGGCAGTGTGCGACGAGGCGTTGTCGTAGTGAAGGAGGATCCTACTGCGACGTCGTTTCTCCAGAACTTTTTACATTACAAGTGGCAAGCAATTGTTAGTGTACAACCCTGCAGTAACTGTTTTCGGTCCTCTAAAACAATAATTGTTGCGTAACTACCTATCCTTCCGAAGAACGCGGCCACCATCTTTTTTCCCACGCTTCGAACTCTCTTCACTTTAGTTGGCAACTCCTCGGAAGGAAACACATAGACAGCAGACTGTCTCTTAGTTTCAGGATCATAACAATAAATCCAGCTTTCGTCAGCCTTAAGTATGTCGAATAGCATTTGAGCAAGCATTTGAGTCACTTCAGTTAAATCTTTGAACCATTTCACGACACCATTCAAGACGACGGAGTTTTTGGGCCTCTGTCAAATTATGAGGCACAAAGCTTCCTGCCCGCTAAATGTTCGCGGGGGATTTTATGCTCTTGACTCATACCCATGCATAAGCTTATCTGAATGTGCTGATAAGTCACTCTTTTGTCAGTCTCTACGCCGCACAACACTGATGTTATCTTCAGTCGTCACCGTAGAAGGCCATCCACGCAGATCATCGATGAGATTATAGCACGTTTAAACTCATTAAACCAGTTATAAACAGTGGCACGAGATGGAGCTTCATCGTGAAAGGCCAATCGAAATCTATCATAACTTTCTTGTTGACTTAAATGACATCGTAAGCCATAAAAAAATCATTATACGAAAATTTTCTTGCATCAAATTCATACTGACGTGACATAGACAATTTTCTTTTTACCGCCAAATCGTAAAGAAATGACAAATTAATAAAATACATACACAATAATATTGGCAAAGAGTTCCATTTTCAAAATTTGAACTTATTTTTTTATTATATCGTTTACAAGTGGCCAGTTCTAAAAACTTTCAGTGTCGCCCTCGTATGTCCGTCTCTTACTATCCTAACTCTATAATAGAAGCGTAGACAGACATTCTCTGTCTACGGATAGAAGTATATTAACGTGACGGTGACGCTAGTCTTTAGCATGGGCTTACATCCTTGTCACACTTATACAAAATTATGTATGCTATCTCGCTTTCATAGTAATATTGCATACGTTTTTCCATGTTTAACATATTTTAGGTTATAATAGTTTTTTTCTTATTTTTCTCGAAAACGGTGCATTACCTTATAATGCTAGTGGTATTGATGTATCGTTATCATAGTAATCGGTGACTAAACCTCTACCAAATAAAACACTTCTCACCGAAATTCTAAATATTGAAATACAGTTAAAGAGTTTATTAACAGGAAACTGTTCTTTAACGGTACCATAGATTACTAAAACTCGGTATTACGATTATATCTATGGTATTACGGTACTTAAACATGGCGGCGTTTTAGTGGCTTGGTAAAAATCAGAAGCTTCGCCGAATTAGTCCGCTATTTGTGATATAAAACCTATAAAAATATTAAAATCATTTAGACATTCGTTATTAGAAAAAGGTTTACGGTACACAGTGTGATATAGGATATAAATTTGTCATCTATTTATTGAAATATGTAAGTGACTGAAAGTAGCAAAGAGGCGTGATCATTTTTGCATTTTTTTAATGATTGCTTTGTTATATAGGTATGACGACAGGCGCGGTGGCCGTGGAGGTGGACGTGGGATGAGCCGTGGAGGTCGCGGCGCCGGCAGAGGAGGTACCCGGGGAGGGCGGTCAAGTGATAGATCGGAAGATAGGGGTAGTCGTTTTGGTGCACCCCGTGGTCGAGATGGCGGCAGAGGGGGAAGAGGTGGTGGCGGCTTTGGAAATCGCGGCGGAGGCGCTCGTGATGATTTTAGAAGCTTTAAGAATGACCAACCGGGCGGTAATTTACGAAAGATCCGTTGGGACACGGTAACACTGACCCCATTCCAGAAGAACTTTTATGTACCTCATCCAAATGTCCAAAAGCGTTCACCAGCCGAAGTCGAGGCATATCGTAGTGAAAACCAGATTACGGTCAAAGGGCGGGATGTGCCGGCGCCCAGTATATATTTTGAGGAAGGTGGATTCCCAGATTATGCTATGAGGGAAATCTTGAAACAAGGCTTTCCTCATCCTACACCAATCCAGGCACAGGGCTGGCCCATAGCCCTGTCTGGCCGAGATTTAGTTGGAATAGCTCAAACTGGCTCTGGAAAAACTTTGGCATATATTTTGCCAGCTATTGTACATATTATTAACCAACCTAGGCTGTTGAGAGATGAGGGGCCCATAGTACTTGTTCTGGCTCCTACTAGGGAGCTTGCACAGCAAATTCAACAGGTAATTGTGGCAAATTTTTTATGTGATTTATATATTCAATGTGTAAATTTTATTGCATTAATTTTATGTACCTCAGATACAAATTAAAAATTATTCACTTAGGTTGAAAAGGAAGCAAGAATTAATTTATTGGGTCATATTTGATAATCATTGGCTTGATAAAGATTAATAAATATGGTATTATTGTGTAATCTTAAGAGCCTTGTGCATATTCAAATTATAATGCTGATTGCTTTCAATAAATTTTATCTATTTATTTTAAATAATTAAAATTCAATAATTTCAATTTCTACAATGATTTATTCTATTAAAATAATATTACACAATTTATATGTATCTAATGTAAGTATGATTTAATCTCGGAAATGAGGTTAGTGCTGTTAAGTAAAATAATGTAGATAGCATTATTTTCCTTAATATTAGTTGTTACAACTCATCAATATCTATGGTTGTAAATATATTACTAAGGCTTTTAAAAGTATATTTTAATAATAAAAATTGTGTTTTCCGTTGTCATGCACAAGGCTCTGATTGCTATGAACGGGACCGCAGCAGACATGACAGATCCCAACGACGGTGACATAGTAAATTAAAGTTTTAATATTAATAATTGTAGAACTTAGCAACACTGGCAGGCTATGTTCGTAAACCTAAATGTTTTCAGGAATTTGTCATATTATGTAAAATGTTTGTCTATTCTTAAAATTTCAAAATTCTAAATTACAGTTTTATTTAGGTAAGGTTTTTGAACGTAACCTTAAATTAGTTTGAACACTTGTTGGTTTTTAATATTTTTGTTTTCAATGTATTTAGTTTGAATATTTTTTTGTTATATATAACTTTTCAAGGGTTCTGTATCAATTGAGATTTATTAGTCACTAATTTTTTTATATTTGTAAATAACAGTTTTCTTAAATATTAGGCAATCCAAAGTTGTGGAAGTATTTGTCCCATTTTAATTTGCTGTTACTTAAGTTGTTCCAAGCTGCTCATCTCACCTCTTTACTCAGGTTTTATATTAACCTTATTATTACCTCTCAATCCCCTAGCGGTATTATGAGACCTCAGCCATATTCTGTCAAATACCTAGCGGTCTCATGAGACCGCACCCACCCGCAGCACTTTAACCCATAAAAACATAGAGACTACTTTTCTATGAAGAAGTTTGGCATTATAGAATCAATATGAAATTTTCTATCCTCTAGTGCAATAGAAAAATTATCCTATGGATATTTATTTATAATCTACATTCATTTGTACGCATTTTCGCATGAATGTTAGTGTTGATTTTGGATTTTTCTAGTGTTTTATTATAAAATTGTAATGAAAGTTTTTGTGTGAATATAATTTATCTTTTTACGTAAATAATTTTGAGTAATATATATAAAAATAATTGTGATTTTCATGCTTCTGACATTCACTTGGTATGTTTTCTTTTTGTTATCAAAATACAATAAAATCTTTTTTGTAATGAAGTAAAACCTGACTTTTGTTTAGACCACAGGATAGAGAATTTTGTATAGATTTTATAATGCCAAACTTCTTCATAGAAAAGTAGTCTCTAAATATAAGTTTTAATGGTTTTAAGTGCTATGTGTGGGTGTGGTCATATGCGACCACTCGGGATTTGCTAGACGCATGCGACTTAAAGGGATTTTTATTGTGATTCAAGGGTTAAGATAAAACTTCATCCAGTTGACTTCTATAATAGCTACGAAATTTCTTTTACAAAAAAATCCATAATAAATTACATATTATTCTGCATTGCGTGTGAGTGCAGGTGTCTTACTTGATACCTTTTCTTTATAATTTAAAAAAAATAATTTGAAAAATTAATATAATTCATATAAAATTCAATATGTTATACATACATACAAAACTATTATAGAAAAGTTATATGCTTTGATACAGATGCCTTATGAAAAAGTATCTCTAGCACATTGTTTAATATTATTTATTTTCAAGCTTTATTGTAGTTATAGTGTATAATTTTTTATATAAATCTTTTTTCTTAAAATCTTTCCCAGTAACTTCTATTTGCTTTTTATGTAATTATTTTTAAAAAAATACATAATTCTGTTAATGATGTCAATATTTGGCAGCATTATCATAAATGTAAATTGAGTATATTGATTGTTAATTAAATGCTAAAATAATAATTCTCTCAACAGGTCGCAACAGACTTCGGTCAAAATGTTCAAGTTCGCAACACATGTATATTCGGTGGGGCCCCCAAAGGACCCCAAGGTCGTACTTTAGAACGTGGTGTTGAAATTGTCATTGCCACCCCTGGAAGATTGATTGACTTCTTAGAAAAAGGTATTCATATTATTAATTGTATGGATTAAAAATATATATGTGCTTACTGCTGAGTACCGCAGGCTTTTTCAAATTCAATTTGGTTTTTGATTCAAGCTCAACCAAGTTTTCAAATAAAATTTCAAAAGCTTTTTTTTATATGTGGTAGAGCCATACCAACTCTTGAAATATTAGATTAATCAATAAAATGCATAAATCTATTTTTAAAGATCAGTTTATTTCCTAAAACTTTAGGTTGAAATTTTTTTAATGTCCATACTTTTTGAGTTATAGGATGTTTAATGTTTTTTTTTCTTTTTACAACAACGATCCAACGCGTTTACGTAAGAAATCCACATTTTGAAAAATCTCACGTGAGATTGAGGGTAGGGGGAGGGGTTGAATGAAAGCTCACGAAATCTCACCAGGGGGGAGGGAGGGACAGAAAATTTAAAAAAACACCTCACGTAATTTATGGACGCCCCCTTACCATCAGATAGACTATGTGGTAGTTTGTCACCTTATCATATAAAAAAAATTTGAATTACAATTGAAACAATTGAGTTACGGTCAAGCATTAGTAGTTTATTTAGGCGCATTCTCTTATCAGGAGGCCATTTTAATAATTTAAATATTGACTTTTTAAATATTTTATTACATTGGACGAACTTTTTCTTGAGACTATGAACTTCCTTAATTTTTAAAAATTTATGTCATTCAAAATTTATTATATGATTATTTTTTCTTTTGGTTTTTGTTGTTTTTTTTTTTTTACTTTTTTCCCTTTTCGGGGCGATGATTTGGGATTGTTTTTTTTTGTTTACTTTAGTTATTTTGTTTTAAGTTTTTATTTTTTTTTTTTTTTTTTGGGTGGGGGTATGGGTTATGTGTTGTTTTGGGGTGTTTACTTTTGATATTAATTTAGTAGGTATATGTAAAGCTTACTACAATATTACTTTTTTTCTCTCTTAGATACAACCAACCTACGTCGCTGCACATATTTAGTATTGGATGAAGCAGACAGAATGCTGGATATGGGCTTTGAGCCGCAAATTAGGAAAATCATTGAGCAAATTCGGCCAGACAGACAAGTATGTTATTAGTTGTTTAAACTAGATACTGGTATTTAAAATTTGTCTATGAACATTATTTTATTCAAATTGTATATTGTTTTCTTTTGCGTATCATGATTATTACCATCAACTCTTCACAAGTCCACTGCTGAACATAGGCCTCCCCTTAGCAATGTCACTAAACATACTACTGAGGCACCTGCATCCGTCAACTTTCTACATGTCTTACTTGTATCTGTTACTGAATGGACCAGCTCTTACTTACATCGTGCCACTCAAACCTGCTTTCAAATTTTTTGGTTCTGAGTATATGGTCAGTGGGTTGTCACTTCAGCTTACTGATCAGTTGGACTATGTCGATTAATCTGATCATATTGCAGATATCACGTATATTTTTTATATGCGAGATGTAAAATAGCCAGATTGGTGATAGGGTAATGTCAAAAGGTGCGGGATATCTGCTTCTGCACTTGCATCTGCCGGTGGATGCACATGCTAAGTTTGACTATTATGGTAAATCATTCCTACAGTGAAATAGTCCCCGCAGTGCATTGCTAAAGGCAGATAGAAAAGATGAAGATTACTGACAGTACAATTTTTTTTAATTTTCTATGGTGTAATTTAGGTATAAAGATACAACTTAATATTTAAGGTGCTTATGTGGTCAGCGACTTGGCCTAAAGAGGTCCAAAACCTGGCTGAAGAGTTTCTACATGATTACATCCAAATTAACATTGGTTCGCTGAGTCTCTCTGCGAACCATAATATCCTGCAAATTGTTGATGTGTGCGAGGAGTGGGAGAAGAATGATAAGTTATTGACACTTCTCAATGAGATATCTTCTGAGGAAGAAACGAAGACTATAATTTTCGCTGAGACAAAGCGAAAGGTATGTTTGTAAAGATTTTATATCAATATATTTTTTTAATTTAACTTCTTTGTTTTTCACATTTTATTTGACGCTTAAGGTGGATGAAATCACCAAAACTATAAACCGAGCCGGCTGGCGAGCATTAGCTATTCACGGAGACAAGAATCAGCAAGACCGTGACTATGTCCTCGGACAATTCCGACAGTCGAATGGCGGCATTCTGGTCGCCACTGATGTCGCAGCTAGAGGCCTTGGTAAGTATTTGCAATCTATTTCAGAAGTCAAGATTCTTGGAATATGACATTCCTCATTGGAATTTTACTAAATAATTTGACAATTCGTCAAATAAGTAGTTACTGTTGTTGCCCAGAAGTTGATTATCTTATGTTTGTGCCACCAAATTTAATTTATTAAAATATCAAATATTGCATTTAGATGCGTATGGTGGTGAATTTAGTCCCGCCAATGTAATTTCTAATGTAAAGGCAGCAAACAGAAGATTCTGTGTGTAACAGTTGCGAGGTTTTTTGTGTCTGTTATTATGTAAAGGTGCTAAATCATCTCGCACTGTTGAACCGGGGTGTTACAAAGGTCTAAGAGATGTCAGGAGCGTAGTGGAAGGTAATTGATGCCATTGCTAAGTGATGTTGTATACAATTGTGGGCCTAAATGGTGTTCTGAGAGATACCTATGTTTTAAGCAAGAATCGAACACTCCCTATTGAATGTTAAATCTTTTGTTGCAAACTTGAATGGACTATAGTTGATAATCTGGATTTGGGATGTTTTCGTTTAAATTCTTGTTTGGAAGAGAAAAAGTCACACTTCCAGTATTCACAATTACCATAGATGATGTTAAGATGGCAAATTGATGATTTTTTTTATTGTGTGGGTTCCAAATCATTATATTTTGTTCCATTTTTGATGAGTTGTTGAATGTTTGTTGCTTTTTCTTATATATATTTTTTATCTTCATCATCAATTAAATCAAAGACAAAAAAATAACAGGTGAATACTGGAATTTTTTACAGTTGCAATATTTATAAAGCAATGGTCCCATATTACCATTAGGAATGTTCCATAGGCAGTAACGGGAGCCTTGTGAAATTTTATAACAAATATTATACGCAATATTTACGAATCAATAATTTATTTAAATTATACATACCAACACCATATTTGATGAGTTTTTTCATTTGGTTCTCCGTTGGCTGAAAAACAATATAAATTTCCATGACTGACTCAGCATTATTATTCGTTGTTTTTATTTCAGAGGCGCATGCGTGCAGAGATATGGGCTAGTCTAGCGGTGTGTTGCTGACTTCACAATTAATGATAATTATGATTCTAATGATAACCATGGAATCATTAATGACAGCTAATGATTAGTTTGTGTCAGCGCACACTGTTTATAAATGAGCATGCAGCCTCTATAAGTGTTGAATTTGATATTTTTATTTGAACAAACTTAACTACAGATGGTCTTACTATTCAGACAAATATGGTTTTGATATTTGAAAAAGAATTGTTTATTTGAAAAAAGATTTGTTTTTGAGAACTCAGCTTTCAAAAACAATACAGTTCCCTATTTGTGTTAGTATTTTTTGGGTTAGAATATTATGTTTGGCTTGTTATGTAAGACCATTTTTACTTAAAGTGAAAAATATGCTTAGTTATTGTGTCATGAGAGATTTACCGAACAATACTAAAGGGCCTGCCCTACGCCACCTGACAATATAACTCAGTTAAATGTCAAAGATGAAAACATGTGAGGATATTAAGTCAGCACACCGTTCGACTCTTGGCCTACAACACTCCGGAACCACTGAAGGGCATAAAACAGTTATTTCCAGCCGTGTCTGCGACCTGTGCTGTGTGACTACTTTTTCTTAAGGTAAAATATTTATCTAATTTTTGTGATAGATTTTGTTCACGAAAAGGTTTTTCTTCAATAATGACATAGAAATGTTTCTTAGTTCTAAAAAGGTTGTAATATATTGCTTTATAATGTATTTATATATAAACATTATTGTCTTTACTCATAAAATTAACATCAACTCAAAAAATGTTTAGTTGCTCTTTTTTCACTAAATAACAGTAGAAAGAGACAGGTACAGAGATAATTTATACCTAAGTAAGTGATAATAAATGATTATGGGTAAGGCCAAATATGTATAATTTGTTCCAATCCAATTTTGCGAATGTAAAAATTATTTAGTGTTATATTAAGAATATTTTTATGTAAAACATTTATATGCTGAAATGAATTAATTGCGTTATAAATTTACAAAAGCATAATTAAAGGAAAACCAAAACCAAACACTTTAATTTATCATAGGTATATCTTAATTATTGAATTAGTAAAAAATACTTTGTTTAAATCCAGTAAAATTGGATTCGAACTAAAGTATTATATTAGATTGCTTCATCCTTTACAATAGATTTGTTAATACCTAATAGTCTGATTTCTTTTTGTTTCAATATTCAAAATTTATGACTTTCATCGGTTTATTGTATGGTACAGTAAGTTATAGAAAGACTGGACTTTTTAACTCATGTTCTTTATTTTTACGTTATTATATATTGACATAACCAGAATCAAAAAATAAACTTTCAAAATATATCCAGATATTGTTAATACTCATAATATATGAATATGCTAAAGATATTTGTGATTTACTAGCTGTCTGGTTTAGTATTTTATTCTCACTTATTTTTGCCATCAAGCAGTGGTGCTTCTGCTGGTCTTAAGAGTATGGAGTGGCAGTATACCTAATTAAGAGACATTTAATCTTGGTCTTCAGGGTGACCACCCATCTGTAACCTTCTTTGCTTAAACTCGGTTGGCTGCCCACGGGCTGCAGTGGCCACTTTACATCACTTGGATAAATTGTTAGTCTGCTTGTCACTAAAAAAAAAGGAACATGTAATTTCTTCTAATTGCTTATATATGTAATCATGTCAATCTATATAATATGTTTATTTTATTATAATTTACACAAAGTGGTAAAATCTTTTTATTGAGCCAAAAAGAGTAGAAAAAAATTTATTACAATATATTAATACACTTATGTGACCACAGATGTGGAGGATGTGAAGTTTGTGATAAACTACGACTATCCAAACAATTCTGAGGACTACGTTCATCGCATTGGACGTACAGGACGCTCCCAGAACACCGGCACAGCTTATACACTTTTCACGCCCACTAACTCTGCTAAGGTATGACATGCATACAATCTTATTGTTGATTTTCTATGAAAGTGCATGTAATGTATATACAAGAAAGAAAATTTGTGAGATTATGCACAGTAATGTTTTTTGTCTGCGGTCCAAATTCGACAAATATGTTTTTAAAACAACAAAATTCAAGTAGCAAAATATCCTTAGCTTATACAGCCATGAAGGTCATAGGAATGCTTTTATTTAGTTGGTGTTTAGGAAAAATTATATGTGTATGTTCACTTTAACAATGTTCTCATGACCAAATTTCGGTCACGGTGGTCAATCAACGGAGAATAACCATCTGCGTAGACTGGATTATAGTGCACAAACATAGGTGCCTATATAAGCAATCCAAAAGGAGCGGAGAGAAATCTTGCGCATGACCAACAACTTCACATGTTTTTTATGAGACATGGGGTGAAACTATTTGAAGCAACCCAGGTTTTTAACCCGGGACTACATGACCAGCAGTTGCGCTTACGACCACTATATCAATGAGTCGGTAAACTTCATTTTAGTATACCTGTAGTTGTGGCAACATACAAATGATTTTCTTCATTGAGCATATGGAATAAGTACCATTCGAATGATATTATTTATAAATTGTAGGTTTTTTATTTTTGTTGCTCATTTATTATGTATATAATATAATAATTGACTGCAAAATTTTACAATTATTTATTTTGTTTTAGGCCAAGGATCTCATGTCTGTGTTGCAAGAAGCAAATCAAGTTGTAAACCCAAGGCTGTTGGAGCTAGCTCAGTGTGGGATGGGCTTTAAGGGAAAGTATGGTGAGTATTATTACATGTCCCTAGTAATTTAAGACTATTTATATCTATTATAATTGGCAGACAGGAGAAAATGCATTTAAAGCCATCTTTGTTCGAAATGTGTAGCTTATATCAATATTAACAATGGATACTTATCATCTGGTTTTTTAACCAACTTCAAAAAGGAGGAGGTACTCAATTCGACTGTATTTTTTTTAATGTATGGTTACCTCACAACTTTTTCTAGTTGGACTGATTTTCATGATTTTTTTTTGAAAGCAGATTCATCTCATGTAGTCCCATATAAAAATGATCAAGATCTGACCAGTGGTATTTGATTTATCCTTAATAATGCATATTTAATTGACTTCAACTACATTGATGATGTTCCCATTTTATTTATATTGTAGTTGGTGGTTACACAAAATTTTTAATTTTACCATTTGTTACATAGTAGCTTAGGTGATAAACGAATACTTTCCACCTGATGGGAGTAGATACTGTGACCCAATCACCTATACATATATCCTTGATTAAGTATCGGAATGCAGACGTGTCAGGATAGAGGAGGAGATGGACCCTTAGTTCTATAGCATTGGGTATCCTAGTTTAGTTCTTGTTTCCCACAAATTTATGTATGCTCTTAACGTATTTTAAAATGTAACTGATAAGTTATGTTATGTACTATATGTGAGACTCAAAAAAGATTGTGATTTCTCATTTTAAAAACAATTCATAATGCAGCAAAGACAGAGTAAGTGAAATGAAATGTGGGGTGAGGTGACTCAAATTGGCAGGATAGTGTGAGTAGGCATTCTGTATATAGTCATCATTTTCATCATTGCAGCTCTTCACAAGTCCACTGCTGAACATAAGCATCCAAGAAATGCCACAAAATACAGAACCATCTGTATCTAATATCAGTATCCTGCATGTTTTACTGGATTGTCATTATCATCAAGTGCGGGCGGTGGCGTCATTCACCTTATTTACAGATACGAGGCTGCCATCAGACAAAGTAATATTTTTGATAGTGCTTACTGTACTCCATGGACATAGAAAACTTCGTAAAGTATTGTCATCACTAAAGTTTAAGATGGAAGATCACATAGCTTGTACTGGCTCTATACTCTTCACCCTGGAAAGCAGCAGTTTAAGACCTGTTACTTGGTTGCAGAAGTAGGTAAAAAAGGGTGGTACTTCTCTGAATGGAGTCCTAGTCCACTATGGAGACCTACCATCTAGTTTTTGGAGGTCTGCTGCTGCTAGATTATGTGGTAGTCACATTGTAGCTATAACTATATAATGGTTGTAGCATGAATGGGTTGGCTTGATCAGGTAAGGTCCTATAGCAGCAAAATTTTGCTGTTAGGAAACAGGGTGATTGTAGAGACCCTTTTTACTGGAAAATTCCATGTCAGTCTCCTCAAGCTTGACAACACATTTGCATTTTGATTCTTAATTGCAGATAGATGTAAATGTAGATGGACAGCATCTGCTTACTACCAGGTGGATAGTTTTTATTTCTTTTTCATAGAATAAGGATGATAGACGAGCACACAGGCCACCTAATGGTAAGTGGATGCTGTGGTCCATAGACATCTACTAAGAATCAAAACGTAGATGTTGTCACCTCTGAGGACTAAATGGAATGTCTTGTTTCCAGTAAAAAGGGTCATCACCCTTCTGAATAAGGGTTGTGACAACTTTAAATAAAAAAATTGGGGTCATTAACCTGTATGTGGTAGTGTTATGAATGGTGTGTGTGTGTGTGCAGGGCGCGGGCGGTTCCGCGAGCGCGACGACAGCGAGCGTGGCGGGGGGGGCGCGGGCGCGGCCGCGGCCGTGGGGGACGTTTCGGTGACCGAGGTGAGCTCACACGTTCTAATTATTATCATTATTTCACACACATTCCATTTAAAGTTCATCTAGATATTAAAAACACTGCGTTATGTCATGGTAAGTCCTTAACAAAACTTGTATTTATGTAAACTGTACTTACTAAATTGGACCTTAAGTCACAAAACACTGCCATATGATCCAATAAATTTATTGTATAAAATAATAATAATTACACACATACACAGTATAGCACTCATAAATACAAATACAGATTAGTTAATAAGGATTTAATTTTATATAATACATAAATACCAGTATTATTTAATTTTGAGAACAATAAATGTTGACTACTAGGGTAGGAGCGAAACAAGTATATTGAATTGCTGTTGGGTTTGTTTCACTACTAATTTATGAAGAAGTCTAGTTGAAATATAAATTCATTTTTAATTATTTGATTTATTTTTAGTCTTCGAAAGTATGATCATTTACCAGGCTGCACTAAAAGTATCGGGAATGGAATATTTCCACTGTTCCTGTCATATTAAAATCTTTTTAATTGAAAACTCCTTGGTTTTAAAAATCGAATACCATTTATTTATTTAAAAATAGATTCTCAAGGTTTTGTCAAACTTGTTTAGTCGTTGAGAAAATGGAATTGACTCGAGAAAATTCAAGAGCGATGATTTATTATGACTTTCGAAGTGGTTTAACACAAAAACTGTGTGTTGACCGGATGATTTCTGCATTTGGTGATGAAGCCCCATCCAAAACCACAATTTATCGCTGGTTTGCTGAATTTCAACGTGGACGTGTCAAGCTCAGTGATGATCCCCGTCAAGTTTGTCCAAAAACTGCAGTCACACAAGAAAACGTTGATGCTTTGCGTAAGCTGATTGAGGAAGATCGACATGTGACATACCGCGAAATTCAGGCAACTTTAGACATTGGCATGAGTCAAATACAAATAATCTTGCATGAACAATTAGGTGTAAAAAATTTGTTTTCCCGATGGATACCGCATTCGCTCTGTGAAGAGCAAAAAGCGGCTCGCGTTACTTGGTGCGTCGGAACTCTCGAAAGATTCCACGCAGAATCCTCAAATGCTGTATACAACATCATATCAGGTGACGAATCCTGGATATACGCGTACGAACACGAAACAAAAAACCAGTCACGAGTTTGGGTGTTCGAAAATGAGTTAAAGCCAACAAAAATTGGAGGAGTGTTGCAAAAAAAATGGTGGCCACGTTTGTCTCCAAAACCGGCCATGTTACGACTATTCCTCTTGAGGGACAAAGAACGGTTAATGCAGAATGGTATGCTAGCATTTGTTTGCCATAGGTCGTTTCTGAACTCCGTAAAGAGAACTGCAACCGCCGCATCATCCTCCATCACGACAATGCGAGTTCTCACACCGCACACAGAACAAAAGAGTTTTTAGAGCAAGAAAACATAGAATTATTAGACCATCCGCAGTACAGCCCCGACCGAAGCCCTAATGATTTCTATACGATATAAAGAATAAATTGCGTGGACAGAGATTTTCATCACCTGAAGAAGCTGTGGACGCCTATGAAACGGCCTTTTTGGAGACCTCAATTTCTGAATGGAATTGTTGCTTCAATGATTGGTTCCATTGTATGGAAAAATGTGTCAAATTTCGCGGAGAATGCTTCGAAAAACAATAAATACATTTTTAAATAGTAATGTTGTGTCACTTCCTTGATTCCCGAAATTTTCAGTGCCGGCCTCGTATCTACTTATCATTCTTAACCGGCTACCTATTCGTCAGCGACATAGTCTCATAGACATAGTCGCATTCACTTTTCTTTAATGTCTCCCCATCCTCCATCTTATTTAATTCCTCATTTTCAGTATTTTAGCCCCGAACACATTGAGCTATTATGTACTACGTACTAGAGGCGACACTGCATTCAGCTACTCTGTTCCACTCAACTGCGGTGCATACACCGCACTTTAATCAGTCACTCGCTAGGCGCTTGTAGGGTTGTCACGTGTTGTGTTAATTTTTAAAAAATCTCTTGATAAAAATATGCCGTCGGTGTGGACTTAGATATTGCACAAATACGAGGGTGGATTGAAAAGTACTCGGCCTAACCAAGAAAATAAACACATACTAAATCAGTTATATTTTTATTTTTCTACATAATCACCATCAAGTTCAATACACTTTTGCCACCTCCCCCTTCCAAGCATTTAGACCGTTGAAAAAAAAATGATTCTTCCTTAGAGTCAAAATATGCGTCTACAGCTGCTTTGACCTCGTCGTTTGTCGAAAATCTTTGACCTCCCAAGTGCTTTTTTAGGTTAGGGAACAGAAAGAAGTCTGATGGTGCCAGATCAGGTGAATACGGCAGATGCGGTAACAGTTCAAAGCCACAGTTGTGAATTTCAGCCATTGACTGTACTGACGTGTGAACACGGGCGTTATCTTGATGAAACAGGACTTTTCTTCTGAGCATTCCTCCACGTTTTTCTTTTATTTCCTCTCGTAAACGACGTAGTAAGGTGCAGTAGTAATCAGAGTTTATAGTCTGACCCCTTTCAAGATAATCAATCATAATCACACCTTTCGAGTCCCAGAATACTGAAGCCATCACCTTATTTGCCGACAAAATCGACTTAGCCTTTTTAGGGGGTGGTGAACCAGGTCTTCTCCACTGTTTTGATTGTTGTTTTGTTTCCGGTGTACAGTAATGAACCCATGTTTCGTCCATAGTAACAAAACGATTCAAAAAATCATCTGCATCGGCTTCAAATAACTCCAAACAGTCGCGTGAAATAGTCAATCGCGTCCTTTTTTTGTTCAACTGAAAGCAGTCGCGGAACCCACCTCGCAGACACCTTGTGAAAACCCAACTCGTTGACAATGATGTTTTGAGTTCGTTCATAAGAGATGCCTATAATCTCGGCTATCTCTCTAATTTTTAATCTGCGGTCTCCCATTATTAAATCAAGTACTTTTTTAATATTTTCGTCAGTAGTTGACGTCGAAGGCCTTCCAGAGCGGGGTTCATCTTTCACACTCTCTCTACCACGCTTAAATTCTGCTATCCATTTTTTGACGGATGAATATGACAGAGCACAATTGCCTAATGTACTGACCATGTCATCATGGATGGCTTTTGATGATAGCCCCTTCTTATGGAGGTACTTAATGACGGCACGCTGCTCGATTTGCTCAATTCGCGGAAATTATGTCCGATTACTTTGTATAATAAATTTATAAAATCACAACTAATTGTTCATCGCACACGTTTCGAACTTCACACAATGAACTAGTCTGAACTGAATATATATTTGTACATTTTTTTTTTGTAGAAACATATATGAGTTATCATAATTAGGCCAATTTTTATATTTAAATCTGCTCATTATTCTTTTATATTATTTTTAGGTTCCACATCAAAGTCAAAGTGAAATAAATTCGTCTATTTTTAACTCTCGCGTGCCCAGCATTTATGAACGACTCTTATTCTAATTTAAATAAATATATTTGTAATTTAAATTTTATATTGATAAGTTTTGTTAAACATACATTTAGTATGTTTTTTATATTTGACATAGATACCTTTTAAAATATCATTAAAATGTAATTGTGATATAATATTATATTAAATAAGCAAATATAATATACAAAATAATTGACACAATTTGAAAATTGTTCTCGATATAATTTACCTATTGAACAATACAATCTATTATTACCTACTGATCGTTCTACCTATGTTTATTCTATAATAAAAAAAAACCAACCGTGCGAACACACAGTAGCGCACATGTTTTGTTTGAAATAGCAGTTCTAGTACGTAAGTACATATTACTTCAATGCCCGAACATGATAGTTCTCTGTTCTACTAATAACAGAAGGTTACAAAGAAATCATAATAAAAATAATTACAAACAAATCATACGATAAAGAACTTTGTCTCTCCAAATTTTAATGGCAGAACTATTATTGTGTTATCAATTTAAAGTAAATGTCTTTTTAGAAAATGTAACTGGTCTCATTTGTCTTAGTATTTTAAATAACTCTATGTCAAAGAAGTAATTATAGTAAAAAACAGTACATCTAATTATAGCTATTAAATGCAACAGTGAGCCATCTATGATGAAGACCAATAATTTATCAAATTATTAATTTCGATTATCAAACTTTTTATAGGCTCAAGATGGGATGAAAATGGCGGCTCAGGTGGCTACAACCAAGGCTCTGGCTTCAATAAACGTCCGGACTATAATAACCGTCAGGACAGCTACAACAACCGTCAGGACAGTTCCAACAATCGTCAAGACAATGGCACCGCTCGACAGAGCTTTGGTAACAGGGATGGTGGATTCAATCGAGAGAATTCCGGAGGCTTTAGAGGTCGAGGTGGCCAAAGGGGAAGAGGCCGTGGAGGCTCCAGCTACAACCAGAACGATTCTCAAGGTTACCAGAATCAGAGCCAGAACTTTAATGTACCCCCACCCACTTCGTATTATAACATGTATTCTCAACCTCCCCCGCCCCCCGCTGCTAAGTTTGGAGCCAAGTAAAACAACATGGGTTGTTTTCTTAGCATTATTGAAACAGCCTATACTTTGTGCGACAATTTTAAAGTAGGGATAACAATGATACTATGCAAGATAGTATTGTAATTTCTTAGTGAATTTTCGGCTGAAAGCTGAATTTAAATAATAAATTATGTCCGAAACATTCAGACGAATTACGATCTTATAGTTTGTAATAGAAGAATTGATATCCAAGTTTTTCAAACTTAAATGTAACAATTTAACACATTGTGTTAGACCAGCTATTCAAGCTAAATAGAATGTTTGCACAATTCTCATTTGACGCCTATTTTTCTCAGTTTTAATAAATTTGTGTCGTGATATTTAACCTTGGCTCTATGGTCTTAAAGTAACAGTTTTAGGCGTAGGTGTGTACGTTTACGTTTTTATGTTTTATATGTACTTTTTTTTAAATAATAATGGCTCCAATGTTTCAAATAAGGGTTGAATCTTAACCTCTTCCATTAAATGCAATTATAACATGATTCTAAAACAATACTTTTAAACAAAATTCTATTTATCAAAATATATTAAATAATTAAGGCGCTGTGAATAAAGGACCTATATCCGCTGAACAACAGTCTAAAGGCAATACTAAATTCATAGCGCTCTATATTTGTTGTAATCGGGTACAAAACACCTTTATCAGTTTCACCTTAACATTCTTATCTAATTTCCTGAATAAGTGTTACTTCTTTTAATTTATAGCGAATAAAACTTGTTACTTAGACATGCATAGGGTATTTATAAGTAATTACCAATAATTAATGGTGTTTAAGTGGAAATAGAAAGATGTAGCTCTCAAATTCCATTACCCAGCAGTTTTAAACTTAAAACTTTTATGTTTGACATTCCTATATTGTATGAAATAATATTCAGTGTCCATTTTTTGAATGTGCAGTACCAAATAAATATATCTTAATAAATACTGTTTGTTTTATTTTATCGACACAAACAAGGCTTTTGCATACACACAAAATTCAGACCATACAGGGTTATTTTGCAATAACCGGCAAAATTTGCAGACAAGGTTCAGAATAATATAGGCAAATGGTGAAGGAAAATTAATTAAAAAATCCGCCTTCTCCTTTCGTCCTTTTTTCTATTAAGTTCAAATTGCGTAGTAATGCAATATTTTAATCCCTAAAAGTATATTTTTGTTAGTAGGGATTTTTGATTAAAAAAAATGTGACAAGTAGTTTTGACAGTCCTGTCGATGTTACGTAACACTACCCAAAGAATTCTGAAGAGACCGAAATAGGTGAAAATCTGAGGGTGCAAAGTATACGTCACAAATTTTTTTCGCGGATCGAGTCGCATTTTTCCTTTTATTAGTATTCAGAATGTATCAAATTTCTTTATTAGATTCACTTATTTTGGAGGACATAAAAACTGTTGAAAAATGCCGGGAGTATTTTTTTATTTTTCTTGTTCTTAATAGTATTGATATTAAAACCAACCATATACAAACAGTACAACCAAAGAGATTTTTTTTCAATTTTATACATACAAAATACGAAGAAACTTTTTCTCCAACCTATTATTTATGAAGTCATTCATCGATCACTAATAATTTTTATTAGTGATCGATGAAGACATTGCACATAATTGCGTAAGAGGCAAAATTGATATAGATAGTATAAACCTACTTTTTTTTAAATATTATATTTATTTGCACACCATACAAAGTAATTAAACAATAAAATGCAAAATGTTTAAATTGTACACAACAGTTTTTCAGCTGATGCTTACAATAGGAAAACCTGAGCTATAAGCGACAGTATTCTTCCAGTGTCACAATATAGAAAAATTATACAATACTAATAATTAAGCTCATGATAGGGTATAGTAAGAAGAAAATAAAAATTTAATGCTATGTTTACACGCGCGCGTTCAACTCGACATTCAACGTGCACATTCACATTCCCGAGCGTGTAAACGGTACACCCGAGCCCGTAAACGCGCCTGTGAACGTGAATGTCGCGAACCGGGCGTCGGTTTTTTAGCAAAGTTCAAAGGATGAATGTGCGGGCGCCCGGTAACTGTTTTCACGCGCGCGGTCAGTCAGTCTCTCTCGCGCTTTCGTGACGAGTGGATCTTCAACGTTGCTAAAAAAAGTCGCTACGATCGGAGATTACAACATGGTGGAATGGTCAAACGAGACAATTTTGACGTTCCTGGAATATTACCAGGAAGAAGAAGCCAGTGTTGAATGTTCGTATGCGAAACCGACATTCAAGTACTTTAAGCTCATATTCCGAACCAATTTCAAACATTTATGCATCAAATCAACCTATTGAACTCTCAGATCAACCCACATCTATTCAATGTGCAAACGACCTCTTAATGCAAACCCCATCCTTTCAATCTGCAAACGCACACTTAATCCCACCTTCATCCGACATTCTGTCTTTCTTCATATGTTCAATCTGCAAACACGTACTCAATCCAACCTGCACACACATAATCCGCAAATACGAACTCAATCCAGACTAAATCTAACATTATACAAATTGCATTAACAAATTCATTTGAAACACTTGGATCTAATGAAACAAGTGAACCATGAATGAACCTAATAATTAATTGTCATTGTTTTTGTTTGGCAAAAATTTTGTTGTCAGTGTCTGATTTTTGTCTATATAGGAGATATTAAATCTTTATTTTCGTTAAGTAATTTGTGTTGATTTGTGTTGTCAATAAAAAACCTTAAAAATATAACTACCTTTACTTCATCTTTTAGAACTTCATTAAGAGCTCTAGAGACTTACCGTATGATTCCTGATATAGATGCTTTGGAGACTTTAAACAGATAGTGTAGACTTACCGTACTTACCGTAGCTATCACCAGATGCTAAAAATCTTAGCGTCATCATAAGACGAAATTTTGCTGGAATAGCTTCTCTGAAATCTGTGTCTTGCTTAGAAATTATCGGTGAAATTTTACTCAGCAAAATGTCAAAATCAGTAAAGGTCATTAGAGAGAAATTATCAAACTCTCGAGGCGGTTTATGCAAGAGCTCATCAAATTTTTGTTCTATGAACTTCCTGTAAACGAAAATATATATTATATAATTTATTATAAATGGGTACTTTTGTAAGCATTTTATACCAGTGAATCACGATCGGTAAAAACATAGGTAGTTACTTGGTACGATTTCTGTGAACTTTTATCATCCACCACCTTCTTCTTTGCACTCTTTTTCTCCGTCGTTCATCATTTTGTTTCTTTTTCCAATAAAAATAAGTTAAGCCAAAGGATATGGCAGCAACAACACCGAGATCCTCGCTGCCCGCCATGCTGGCACTCACTGACACGACGGCGTGCGTGTGAACAGCTTGAATTTTCGCCGGCCTGGGACGTGCTGCGTGCCGCGCAGCCCGCCGGGCTGCACGGTGTTTTGTGTGATTAGTATGCATGTGGATGGGGTGTAAATGTGAGAGTGGGTGTAAATATGGTATATATGGATAATATATCAACTTATGGGTTTTAGCAGAGATTCATGTTGCCCGATATATAACAAGATTTACTCAACTTGACACACACATACATATCTTCTTTCTTATTATCTTCCTTTATTATATCTTTATCAGCCTATAAAAATTCACAACGGAACACACATGGTTGTAAAACTATGTTGTAAGTTACAAATTATTTTAGATGCATATGTGTACATGAGTATATGTTCTTGCAAAAAGTTGAGCATGTTTTTGGAAATGTACTCAGCATGCATTTAGAAATTTAATGTATGCTACATTCTGTCTTTGTATCTTTGTTGGTATGAGTGTCAATATTAAAACTAAAGTGGAACAATAAAATAAAGTAAACAAACATGATGGAATTTGTTTATTAATTTTATTCCTACCAGATAAATTACACTGAACATTGCATTATTATTAACTATAACCTTCATATAATGTTTTTGATTAAGCTTTTAAAATCATTTACATCATACTGCAAGAGATATAAAATGAAAACCCAACATTATACAAAAGTTTCATCAGAGCAAATTAATGGGCAGCATGGGCCTTTTTCTCAGGGTCGACATAGTCCAACTGCTCCTCAGGGTTGTGGGGCCAGAAGGTAGGCCTGTTGATGGGGTCCAAGGCTTGGTCAGGATAGGCATCACGGTAATCTTCCATTGTCATCTGGTCATATGGAAGAAGTGCCTTGATCTCGTCAATTTGCTTTTGGTACCTGGGAAATGTAATTGCAATATTAACCAACCAAGCCAATGTAGACTCCATTACTACTTCTTTTATACAGTGGACTCCCGGTAATCCGGCCCCTGACTAATCCGCACCCTCTTGTAATCCGACATGTCTTTAACATATAGGTACAACGGAGTCGCGTTATGAATTCGCCACAGGAGGGGGGGGAGAGGTATCCATCACGAATACGTGGACAAACAGGTTGCAATTAGTTCGCAGAATTGTCTCACTTTAAATCTTCTGTACAGTATACATTGTGCATTAAATGATTTTTTAATTTTTTACTATTTTATATAATATGATGTGTAATATGTCGCATTACAAGGTACTCTTTTTCAAAAAGTTCCGGACTACCAGGGGACTGTGGCAGTGGCAGTACTCTATAGTCTTGCCTAAGCGGATGGAGCAGAACTCATTCCTCATTCTGCTTTGGGATGCATTTACGTGTAGATAGTTTGAAATTTAAAATTTTCAGTTATAGTAGTTGTTTTAATTTTTATTAACTTTGTTTTGTCAGTTGTATTATTACTTTTTGTATTAAAGTTTTTGTTATTGTTTTGTGTCCTTTAGTATATTATCACTAGCATGAAATCGAGTCTATCGACATGAAAATCTCATAAAGACTTTACGTTATCATGAAAGAAGCGGAAAGTGTCGCATATTTCGGAAACCGAAAAAATGATTGTTAACATCTATAAATATATAAAATAAACATGGTCTAGTGACGTATATCCATCCAAAACGGATATGAAAAAGAAGACTGTCGATAGGTATGAACTCTAGGTGATGAACTCTTGTACGTCTTCATCATCATAAAATGATTCTGAAATAGATACAGAT